GTTCGATCTAATGCGGGTGAGTTTTGGTATCATCGGAAGTCGTAGCAGCTATACACGTATCGACTGCGCCCAATATGAGCAGAAAGCTTTTACCGGCTATAGTCAAGACTATACAAACAATACACGTGACACTGACCAGGGAATCATCCAGGAACTTATAATGTTCCCGGGGGGAACTCATTTTGGATTATCCACGGATGGCTAGGAAAACATTCTTCAATCAGTCTCCTATGAAAATGTAACAGTAGGAGCATTTTCCCCATGGTTATGAACCCTAGGGTAAAAGTTTTTCTCAAAGGCAATGACTCTCCTGACGATGACTTGCACTGTCATAACAGCAACAACCATGGACTCTTCTCATTGTGCGACCCTGTAGCTTTGAAGATAGTATTGATAGGAAATAACAACGTTAATACCGAATAGCTGTTGTAAAAGTCGCTGATAAATAGCTGCATTTTAGCACGACATCAGCGATCAGATGATGTTGTAGTAGATCTTCTATGGTTATGAAGCTGGAGGAGCGCCTATTCTCCCGCTATTCCCAACGGCCCTGCCGCAGACTGAGTTGGTGGAAACATACGGAAATGATATCGAGGGAAGGACACTTATTCACTTAGCTGCTGAAAGTGGGCAAGTTGACGTAAGCAGTGATAGTGGAGTTTCACAACCCGTTTTACGTGGCATAATACTCTGTGAAAAACCCGATATTCGCGGTGATATGCAGTAGTCGTGAAATATATTTTCCACTAGTGTTTTTCATATCACTAGGGTAAAACCTTATCATTAAACACAGCGCGTAGAGAAAGAACGAGATGATGAGTATTTAGTGTGTGGGAAAATGGTGGTGACAATCTGAGGAAATCGTCTCTGGTTGCTGAACAGTTCTACAACGATTTATGTGCAAACTTGTATTAGTGAGGAAACTCAGCTGAGCTCGGCTGAGGAAGGCAAACATATATTCTTTTTCTACATCGATAATACGTGTTGACGAGTGAAACTTTGAACATGAGCGCTGTAGATATTGGCGTTGTTCGTTAATGAGATCTTTTCGAGTACTTCGAATTGAAGAGTTCAGAAAATTAGAGTTTCCTAAAATCCTCGTTAAAAAGTTTATTCGAAATTGAAGTTGGCTGAATGGTGATGCCCGAAATGAAAGTTGAATCGAAATCTTATCATTTTTATTTGAGATTGTAAAAAAGTAGGGTATTGGTCGTAGATGTTGGAGTTCCTCATCAACACCAAGCTGTTCCCCTTGCCGTCGTCTTTGGAGGCTTTTACTCAACCGAATCCAGCCCCGCAAGTTGAGATGCCTGGGTTAGCAGCAGGAGCGGGGCATACACCGTTACACCTGGCAGCAATAAGAGGGCATATGGATATAGTGACAAGTCTGGTTGATGCTGGAGTTAATGTGAACATTACCAATAGACTTGGGCAGACGGTGAGATCTGGTGGTGCTGCGAATTCGTGGAATTTTATCCCACGATTAGCGCAGTTTGTGGTATGTCTTAGCTAAGACTAGCAGTGGAGGGGAGACATAACACAAAATGAAGACAGACGAATAGAAAATGATCCTAGCTCCGATCAGCAAACTTATTCTCACAGCAGTTACTATGATACTTCTCATCACAGTATCGACTAGTTTGTGATACGTCTGACGGTGTGGTAAAATGTACGCATGGTCAACTACATGTGTTGGTGACAATACAAGAATTTTGAGGAAATTTAGGGAGATCCTGATTGGTTTCTATACACTTCTACCCGGAGTCGTGTGTAAACTTCTCCAATGAGTGAGGAAACTTCTGAGCTTAGCTGAGGAAAATGATTATACATTTCTCCAACAGCGATGCCTCGTTCAAAGGTGTTTAGGGAATTATTGTTGATTTATTAGTTCAGAATCTAAACTTCAGATGATCACATTACTTCTAACAGTGGTTGTTGTGACACTTTTTACCTCAACATTGACTAGCATAGTTTGGGCTGCGTCACAGTTGAGAGAATCGACATAGTAGAAGATCACTGAATGAAGACACAAGAATACGAGATCTTAGTTCGGATCAGCACACTCATTCTCACAGTGACATTCGCGAGCATATGTAGCATATGCGATGTCGCAGCTGAGGAGGAAATAACACGAAATGAGGACACATTTTCATCTTCGTTTATATCATCACCAGTTTGGGTGACTTGGGGATATGGTGGAGTGTGGTAGATACTAGATGTGGCATTAAAGTATCATCAAGAAGAAGTCATTAACTTCATCAGAGCTCTCGATCTGTATAATGCGGCTAAGCAAGGCGACATGTGTGTGTT